ATTTAGACGGATTGTTGTCTCGCGTGATTTACTAAACCGCCATGTTAGATATGTTACAAGACACAGGTAACCCGAACTATCTATAAACATACACAGGTAATCCAAACTATACGATTACAATATATGATAACACTACAATGCAGATGCCAAGATTGCAATATGCCCTAAAACACCAGTTACAAACAATGGAATAATAGGCTTTTATGGCAATGAGGCTGACTATGTCATTAACCTGTTGAAACCCTTTCTTTCAACTGAAGTCACTTCATCGTGTAACCTAGACACCTGTCCATCGAAGGTTAGCAACTTCAAATCACATGGTATTGCACTTGGTTTTCATAAAGATTTTATTAGTTCTGTTGATGAATGGCTTAATCCAGCAATCACTCACTGCCAGAGAAAATTTAAGAGTATGCCTCCCCCTACCACCCCAAGTCATACAAATGTGACCATAAATTGTGATGGCACACAATCCACTTCCTGGCACTGCCATGGGGCAAGGACAAGCAGTCCACGCATATTCTCTTCAAGAATTTCTTTATTTTTTCTGTTGACTTGCTGAGTAGGAAAAACAATCTAAAGTTAAAGGATGTACCAACCTTGATCCATCTTAATGGCAAGCAGCTTCATCTTTACAGTGCAACTTTATGGAATGGGTCAAATTTCATTTGCATTTTCATTTATGCTAATATCTGGCTAGTCTATGATGGCTTCAAAGAATATAAACAAACAGCTTCAGGATTATCTACCTTCAACAATCAGACACATGGATATTTACTAAGCCATATTTTGTATATAGAAATGATTTAATTTTGTACTAACACATCATAAGTGTGTACAACAACATTTYGATCTGAGTAACTTTGTTTTGTACATCTGTAGTGTATGTAATCTACTTTAGTTAGGGAAAACTACAGTTGCCATAGTGTTAAACAAGACAGATACAGGGCAAATAGCATTTTAGATTTTTGTAAGTATACAATGTTCTGTTTAATTATCTAGATATATCACTGAACAAAAAACAATATTCACTTATATTTATTATATTTGMTTTATCAAACTAATTAATAATTCATAATGTCATTAGCCAATGATATACTGAGAATCTAATCACGTGATTATACCTTTATATTGGATAAAAGGGTGAAGCAAGCTCAAAGTTGGGGGCGGCTGTGAAAATTTTCAAAATGTCTAAACTCGCGTGCAATCAAACACAATTAAAACACACTGAAAAATCAATATTGTAGCAATGCCGTTTCGTTTCCTCGCGATTTACTCGATCGTCGGATAAGCTTCTCTGTTTTTCTTGGCGCCTCGTCTTGTATGAATGTGACCATCCAAAAAATCAACGACTCGGCGTTCATGTCATCAAGACCAGCGTCAGCATATCCTGAAATGACTCGCTGTTTTTGAAACTGAAACAGGTGCTACCATTTATGGCTTTCTTGTTCGCACGGTCTTTTGTGCCGGTCGCAAAATAAGGTTGCGGACCATTTTGTTGAATACTTTGTGGAACACTCCCCCGAACAATAGCGCTCTTTTCTTTATGTTGAGTTTGAGGTCTACTAAATCGACTCGACATGTCTTCGAGGGAGAAATGGAAGCCAACTGATTCAGAATTTTTGCTAACTATGAATACCTAATTATCTTGCAATTCCTTTGACAATTCTAATTTTCTATAGTTTGGCAAGCACATTCTTTAAAAACAATAGGAAAATAAACAATTTTCAGGAGTAAGTATAAAAAGCTTCTAATGTGACAATTCCACTTTCAATTAATCATTTAGAAATTCCCTTGATAGTTCAGTCGTTTCATGAAGGCGCCATGCAAACAGTTATATTTGACGCCGGAATATTTAATAACGGTGACATACCTTGATAATTTTAATCGATGAAATGCAGCAAGATATTCAATTTTTCAGAAACATTAAAATGAGAAGTATTATAAAGTTTGATAAGCCGTATACAGAACTCGAGAGCGTGTTGTATCGGGTGATAAAGATCCGAGCCGAGCTCTCTCGTTCTGTATACATTACATACAGCTGTTTGCAATAATTCTGACCCTCCTACACTAATATTATATTCATATATATCAAAATAGCCTTGGAAATTATGGGGTATCATTGCTGATATTTTTTTTTGAAAGTACTCATTCTGGACAACTCAAATATATCAGTCATGATATCCCATAATATTAAAGGTAAGTTTGATATATATGGAATATRGCAGAGGGGGTCAGAATTATTGCAAACAGCTGTATAATTGTCAGACATATGGCAATATATCAATATGAGCTTATTATTGTCTATTGTCTAATTGTTAAATAATACATCATTTATTTTTTTATATTTCTGATACACARCATTCCTATTAACAATGATGAATGCATACTAAGAACAACATTGAATTAGAACTTTGTATGTATTGAAGTTATATAGACATTATTAACAATGATGAAAATACTAAGTGAAAGAATAATGAAGAACTTTTTATGCAATGAAGAATAATTTATTACAATAAAAATCTTTTTCATAATTTGTGTCTTCTTTTACAGTATAAGCATCATAACATTGAGATAACATTGTGTTTTTTTTGTGTGTTTTTTTTTTGCAACGAGACAGATATGTTTTAAATAGCAACTAATAAGCAAAAACGATCTAAATTATAAATGATTGTTATATATTTTTTTGTTAACTTTCTTTTGCAACAAGTGACACCTGTTCTTGAGTTACTAGTTGCCACTGCTCTAAATGTTGGTAATTCTTTATTTTTTGTTTTTGTTTATTTTTTGTAAAAAAAAGTAAAAAATAATTTCTGGTTATTGGCCCACTTCCCAATCCCTCAAAAATCTAATGGTCAAAAAGGCAAAGACAGTAGTGTCTATATATCATAGTCATTTACACAGTACTTGTTGGAAATTTACCAAGGCACAGGCAACTACAACCATTTGTGTTACTAAAGGTGAAAGGGACAATGGAAATGTTCTACCCACTAACTTGAATTGCTTAAGGCGCTGGTTAAATCTTTCAACATGGWTTCTTGCCTTCGCAATCTTTTGAGTTGAAAGTTCTTCGGCAGCACTAAGGCTAGCTCTCCCTTTTAAGAAGGCAGGTATGTTAACATGGGCTTGCAAAGGATTCACAAGATCTTGCACTGTAAAACCTCTATCTGCAAGGATGACATCACCTGGATTTATGTGCTTCAATATACCACTTTCTTCAAATAGCTGTACATCTGAGATATCACCTTCAAATAGGTCTGAAACAAAACATGCACCGCCACTTGGTGTTACTGCAATCATACATTTGAAAGTGTTCCCGTGTTTATATGACGAGTAGATATTTCCTTGCCTTGCGAAATCCCTTGAGGTTTCCACCTTGAATTCAGTGCAATCTACACTACACCTTGTGCTTTTCATAGTTTTAAACACTCTAGGCTGGTACTTTCCAAGTGTTTCTCTCCAAGTGTTTCTCATCACCTTACTCATTTGCCTRAACACCTTGTAAATTAACTGAATGAAGGTTGTAAATATGTTCCTTATTGACGTTTCACTGATTTCCTTGTCGGGACAGCTCAACARTAAGGCCATGGTTTTTATGGTAAAGCCTCGCCTAAGTCTTAAAAGGCAAATGAACAGTTTTTCTGCTGGAGACCAGCCAGACAATATATAAGAAACAATCTTTACTTTCCTACCAATTCWGCTCCAATACGTTATCTCATCCAAAGGGCAAATATCATTCAAAAATGTATACAATACATCAAACTGCATACTTGTTAAGCCTGTAAAATGTTTCATTTTTTAGAATCTTTTCCAACAACTTCGTAGGAGAGATTGCTTACTACTTTATAAATTACAATGTTAGTATTTCGTTCTTCAAAATCATTGTCTCGATCTTTGAAGCAAGTTTGATCTTTGAAAATACTGTTTTCGTACTCTTGTCGTTGTTTACGTCTAGAAAATCATCACAAATMACATTTTGCTCTTAATGAAACAATTCGCCAATTGTTTGTATAAGAAGTATGCAGAKGTAGTAGAGAAATAGTTAATAATAATTATGATTGAACTAAGCTCTCTTGTTTTGTTTTCACTTTTGTGAGGGTTTGGCTCTTCTACCTGACGCTACCCTATCTCATATCTAATTCTACTCCTCAATCTAGGTTCCTGAGGACAGTAGCCTACCGCTGGATTTGTGGCTACATGGGATGGGAAAACACAAGAACACTTCCTGCTTGTATATATAATAATATCAGGTCTAGATACCCCACCAATAACACTAAAGGATATCAGTCAGGTCAAGAGAGAGCTTGAGGATAGGCTAACATTTTATTTATTTCAAGCATTCAATAGTACTGAAAAAAATGTGGAGGACATTATCATTTTTTATTTCCTGACTTTTTCTTGTTCACTCTTTTAGGAGGGCAAGTCTTTGGTTGTCTTTTCAGTGAGCTTTGTTTTTGGTCTTGTTTRCATTTTTTGCTTGGTGGTGCTGAATTTGATTTTTCTGTTTTTGACTTTGTTCTTTTTAAGCKCTTTACAAGAAGGGCAGCTTGTTCTTTGGCTATAAGATTCCAAAATGTACAATATATTTTGTGAAAAATAATATAAAAAAAAGCATGTGATCTTGACATGAAAAATGAATGTGTTCATGATACATGAAAGTATTAACTTTTCCTTTTTTTTTTCAAAATATTTTTTGAAAGTTCATAACACTGAGTTCATACTGAATTAATACCTGTAGGTACCAAAGWTGGAGTTTTAAGCTTCCTTGCACTATAGAGTGTCATTGCCTCATCCTTGCTTTTGCGGTCARGGAACTTGGTATTTTGGGTTTGGGGACTTTTTCTTATATTCATTCACAAGTTCGGCCATTGAGTCACTGGACAAAGTAGATAGTAACCCTCTCATATTTTCAACATACTCTGAGGAATAAAATGCACAGCTATATTTAATGGAAAATTCCATTTCAAATAGTTGATAATAACTTTTACAAACCATATGTTGGTTTTTCAGCTATTTCACGTACAACTTCATTTCCCATTTTGTATTTTGGTTTGGTAAGTAACATGAGTATACATTTTGCCATCTTTTGTTGTTCTTTTCACTCTGTTGAGATTTTCATTAAAATGTAAGCTTGCCAGGATATGTCTGAAAATAATAAAAACATGAGATATTTTTATTTTGCATTATGCTGGTATAAAAGTTATAACAAATACAGTACCTGCAATATGTGCCCAGCCAAGAAAAACAGTTCATTATGGGGTGGAATTGATTTAATGTGGAATGAAAACCTTCTAATGAACTAGTTTGTGCATCTGAAGAAACCATTTTCACATCATTAACCATACTGGTTTTGTTGAGAATTTTATCCAATTTTTCATATTCAGCAGTACCTGTTTACAGATAGAAATAATGATCAGTAATTACCATGACATCTTGTTGTACAAATGAAAAAGACTTTTGTATAATTAGTATTATATAAAACGCAGTATAACTCCATTTTACAGATCTCAGGTTCAGCATGAAAACTAGTCATGCTTTTTCAAAGTAAGAAGGGAGTCTGCAATAATAKGTATCTTGTTCACATTTAGTACARTTATTCACAGTTATCTATCATTTACTGTAAAAGCTCAATCAGTTTCACTTTGATGCAATGTCTGGGCTCTGTTTTTACATGGTGCTGGGAACTGTGAAATTGGGACAGCATTATACAGTATTCATCTCATTTTTGATAATGTATGTTTGCACGTGATAGTTGGTTATTCATTTACCTTTTTTTGGATCCATTTACGTGGTTCCAGATGACCATGGCTGCACTTAGGGTATAGGAGGTCAGGATGTTTGTCGTGTTTGTTTGATAAATGACGAATAAATGATTTCCATTTTGCTACAATTAGTTGGTGAAATCACTGCATGGAAAAATGGATTTACTGTATCTCTAAAAGTGAGGCAAAGTGGGAGTAAACACGACATTTA